GCTGTACGCGGGCCTCTCACTGATGTGGCCTCTCCCGTTGCGGAGCACAGGCTCTGGACGCGCAGGCTCAGCGGCCATGGCTCACGGGTCCAGCCGCTCCGCGGCATGTGGGATCCTCCCGGACCAGGGCACAAACCTGTGTCCCCTGCATCGGTAGGCGGACTCTCAACCACTGCGCCACCAGGGAAGCCCAATCCCTCCTTTTTTTAACGCTTAATTTAACGAACACTTTGAATGTTGACTTTGGCCCAGATGCTGGGGATGTAAAAATGAAAATAAATAAATAAATAAAAGAAACTTGCCCCAGTATGATCTGACATTACGAGTGGGAATGACTCCTGCTTCTAACACTCCTTCCGTAGGGGCTGTGAGAACCCTCCTTACTCTGTGTCCTGTGGGGATCAAGGTAGGACCCACCTCCCACGGGTCCTTTAGGGAGGATTAACTACCTCTGTGCATCTCTAGCCCCGAGGGCAATGCCTGGGACAGGATAGGGCCCCGTGAGGTCTCCGGAGTCTAAGCCCAGACACCCTGCCTTCCACGAGGGTCCTCACTGCCACCCCAGTCCCACACGAGTGCCTTTTCCTCCCAATCCCGCTGTATTCCTCTACACATGCCGTGGCACAGTTGTAATCATTCTGTCCCGAAAAGCTTTCTTCCTAAAGCCAGGTGCAGGGACTCTCTCACCGTCCCCAACCTGCCCGTTTATTTTATAGACATTTCTCTATTTCATGAACTATTTAATGTGGTTCTTCTGTTCATCCCTAACTTCTTTTTAAAAGGATTACAATTTGCCTCTTGCAGAGACAACGGCCCAAACTCCAACTTGTTAATACTTTCAAACACCCTGTGAAAATGCAGGGATCAGGGTTTCATGGCAGCGGCCAACGTATGTTAATTTGGCTTCCAGGCATAGCGACCATAACACAGTTTGAGAAGGTGGCCCTCAGCTCATGGTGTGTTCCTCTGTGTATTATCCCAGCATGCGTGGTTTAATATTACTTAGACCTATTCTCTTTCTTTTTTTAAAAAAAGACAAAATGTAGAGGTATTGCCTGCCAAGTCAGTTGATTTATTGACAAAACGGGTCCTCAGTAATGCTATATACTTCAAAGGAAAGCAGTTCAAGCAGTTTGATAGAAAGTATATTGGGGAACAGCTTTTTAAGTTAGCAAGACAAGGCTATGCCTACCTGTGCAGGAACTGTGTTGAGACATTGGGATCCTGTTACGGGCTGAATGGTGTCCCTTCCAATCCTGTGGGGATCAAGGTAGGTGCGCTGGCTTCTCATTGCGGTGGCTTCCCTTGTTGCGGAGCACGTGCTGTAGGCGCGTGGGCTCAGTAGTTGTGGCCCATGGGGTTAGTTGCTCTGCGGCATGTGGGATCTCCCCAGACCAGGGCTCGAACCTGTGTCTCCTGCGTTGGCAGGCGGATTATTAACCACTGCACCACCAGGGAAGCACCCACATTTCTCTTTTAACTATAGTAAATACAGCACCTGGTATACAAAAATTAGTTTTTAAGTTTAAAATGTTTCCATGCTCATGGACTATCATAAATTTTGTTTATGTTTAGAGACTGAATCTCTAAAATAAAAGAGCTTGTTATCTAGAGTGCACTCCAACATGGAGATAATGTGATCCTAATAATCCCATTGAACATACTTACAAAACACCACTGTGAGACCTCAACCCCACCAAGCTTCAAGTTGATCAAAAGTATAATAATTCACTTATTTAATTTCTTAAACCGAATCGGAAAACAAGTGAATTCAAAATTACTTTTGAAGAGAGGAAAAAAAAAATCAAGATTTTTGTGGATGTTCTGGGTGTCCAATAATCAGCAATTTGAAGGTGGGGACAAGTCTGAGAGGAGCTCACGTCCACTTTCAGGCTGTGTGAGCAGGATGAATAATTCGGTCATGAGGAAACCCCTTAGAGACCGACACTCCGCTTATGCTTGTAGGGCGAGCCGGCCAGGAGGACTTGGAGGGAAGCAGTGTTGGTGGCATCCATATATTCCCCTGAGGGGAGGGGGTGAAGAGGTGGTGCCTCTAGGACTTCAGGTTGGAAGAAAGGGGTGCACGCTGTGTGTTCTCGGGGTGACGCTCTCCTTGTGGCCCTAGACTGGTCCGCTGACGAGGGACGGGGTGGGTGTGCTCACTCTCACCTGTGTCCTATTTAGAATCAGATTCACCTTCAACGACTCTGTCCTTATAGCTCCTTCTTTCGTTAATTCACCTTGTTTTGAGCATCTGATTTTTGCTTTTTCCAGTTCCTTTTCTAGAAGTCTATTTTGCTCTGGGGAGCACAGCCAGGCGTGCTCAGCTTTTCACATGGTGACCTGGTGTTTCAGACGACCCGGACTCAAGGCTGGCAGTTCTTCAAGACGAGTCTAGGTCTTCATACTCTTATAAGAATGCTAAATTCATTAGTCTGTACCATCACTGAATGCAACAAGTGCGTGGCAAGCTTGTCTCCCCTGTAACCTGTTTTATCCGACTAGAAACTTCTGAACAAAATCAAGAGGACTGTAAAATTCCAGCTACTACTGCACAGCACTCCCAACCCTGGGGGACACTCAGGGGACAGGGTCTGTCCTCATGTCTTCAGGCCACCCTGCCAGGGCTGGCCAAGCCCCTTAAGGACCAGCCTTCGCCCCGATTCCTGCACGCTGTTGTCACGGCTGCATCTGCCACACAGCATTCCGGCAGAGGACCAGCCTCCTGTATGTCACAGGAGGTCGTGGAGAGGACGTGACCACTGGTTGACCATCGAGCTGGACCCGGGCAATGGGAGGCTCCTCGCTCCCTCCCGTCCTTGGGATGTACGTCTGCCCACAGTTCCTGCACTAGGAGCCTCTTCAAGGACTTCTCAACTTGACTTTGCAACTATAATTACAACAACTTACCAGGCATTTTGAGCTGTGTTAATCTGGCAGATGACTTGACATTACTTCTTTTGCTTTATTGTGAAATACAATGCACAGGTCATAAGGTTAATTGAACAGTTGATCATAAAGCATGCACCGTGGGACCCAGGTCAAGACAGCAAGTCTGCCGTGCACAGGAAGCTGCCTCTGCTCCATGTGACTCCCCCTGGTCACAGCCCCTTCCTCTTGTCTCCCCACAGGTAACAACTCTTCTAACTTTGCGAAAATTTCCTTGCTTTTCTCTGTGGTTTTACCCTTCTGCTATAATCCTAAGCAGTACAGTTTGCTTCAGGCTGATTTTGAGATTTCCATTAATGAACTAATGTTGAAACGTCGTCTTCTGAATCTGGCTTCTCTTGCTCAACTTACATTTTGTAGCTTCATCCATGCTGTGAATGCAGCAACAATGTGTCCATGTTCGTTACTATATAGTATTCCATTGGATGGATATATCACGATTTATGTCCCCATTCTGCTGTCGCTGAGTTTTGGGGCTCACCAAGAAAGGTACCTCTAGCATTCCTATAGATGTCAGGATGTACAATGTGAATGCACTTCTCTAGGAGAAGGTTGCTGGGTCAACATTCTTAAATAACTGAACTTCAATAATGATCACCAAACTATTTTGCACAGTAGTTTTCCCAGTTTGTAATCCCCCCAGGGGTGAGAGAAGCCCAGTGGGTCTACGTTCTTGGCAACACTTTGAATTGCAGAATTTTCAAAGTTTTTGGCAATGTGAGTGGGAGAGATCTCATTATGTTTCAAGCTTGTAAGTTTGTATTTAACACCTTTTTTGCATGTATAAGCCATTTCGATTTCCTCTTTTACAGTGTTTGTTCAAATTGTTTGCTTGGGTTTTTTAATGTGCTTTTAATGCGCTTTGTAAAAGTTATACACAAACACGATAACCGTCTGTCCATTGTGTGCCTTTCAGTTCTCTTTCGGTTGTGTGGTTTGTCTTTTTAACTGTCTTAATGTTGTCTTGGTAATAAAGAGAAATGATTATTTTTAAAGTAGTAGATTTATTAGTCACTCCCTTTATAGTAAATGCTTTCTTTTTCTTCTTTAAAAACTTCTTCCCTACCCCAAACTCATGGAAAATTCTCCTACATTTTCTTCTAAAATTTATTTCATTTTATTTTTCATATTGCTGTCATAGATCTTAAATACCCTTGGCATTGATTTTTTGGTATAGTGTGAGGTAAGGAATATTTTCCTCCCTTTCTTTCTTTCCCTCTTTCTTCCTTCCTTCCTTCCTTTCTTTTTCTTTCTTTCTTTTTTTTTTCTTTCTTTCTTTCTTTCTTTCTCTCTTTCTTTCTTTCCTCCCTCCATCCCTCCTTCCCTCCCTCCCTCCC